GGTATATGGGGCTGGTGCCCTACTTCTTCAGCCACAGGCCTCTTAAAAAAAAAAAAAAGTTATTGGTAGGGTAATGCGTGCTTCTAAAAGTGTACTCAGCAGGTTCATTTAAGCCCTATGGAGACCTGAGGATATTGGTAGATGCCCCTGGTTAACAGCAAAATTCAAGAGAACGAGACTGGTTTTAAAATTGTAACCAAAAACATGGGTTAACCTGGTCAGTCCATTATTAGTATCAGCTGGTATCCTCCTTAGCAAAGTTTCACAACTGAAGGATTTCATTTTAAGGGACACTTTTAAAGTGGTAACAATAATGGTGTTGGAAAGAGCACATGTTCTAATTCTTTTTTTTTGGCGGGGGCTGGGTTTAAACCTGCCACCTCCGTTATATGGGGCCAGGGCCCTACTCCTTTGAGCCACAGGCACCACCTGTGTGTTTTAATTCTATCTTGTGTACCCATATTCTAGCATTTAATAGCTAAGCAGCTCGCCAAGTCTTGTAACCTCTTGAGTAGGAGAAAACACTGTTTTTTCTCTGCTCTCACCAGGACTACTGTGAGCAAATGTGTAGGGATTTCTACAAGCAAGCAATTCAGCGGACACCAGCTGGAAGTCTTACAATTTAATTCTGATATCTACCTGGCAACAAATGTCAGAGCTCACAGGTTGAGGGCTTAGTCCAGGACTGCCATCTTTTCAGATGCCAATTGCAAGACTCGTTTGTTTTTACTCATCTTTTTGTGACCCACCAGATAGAAATAGGGGGTTCCCAAGACCCTCCTTGGGTTTAATTTGCTAGAGCATTTGACAAGTTGGAAACACATCTACTGGGGTTTATTATATAAAGGATACAGATGACATGGGTGTAGGGTAAGGCATGTGTTGAGCTCCAGAACTTGCAGTCTTGTGCTAGCACTTCTGGGTGGCCAATTCCTCACATACATTAACCTGTCTTCAAACTACCCTGTGATGTGTGTACTGCTTTATTATTTGTTTTGCAGATGAACCAAAGAATAGAGTTAACTTTAGAATGGTTATACAGTTCATTATTGAATTAATGGATGGGTCAACGAAGACCTGTGTTCTGGCTATGGGGGATCCCTCTTCTGCACTTTCCCCTGGGATCTGTAGCGAGAAGGACCAGTGTCAGGTGGGACTAGTTCAGCTTCTCCCAGGAGTCCCGGCTGCCTCTCTGCTGGTCTTCACAAGCTGAGCGGGAGGCCCTCCATCACCCACCTAACCCCCAATGTCCCCTGCTTGCATCGTGTCCATCACCCGCAAAGCCCCTAACCCCACTTCTGACCCCTCAATTGCCACTCACCGTCTCCGCCTTCCCATTGCAGCACTTTCCCCTCAAAGCTATAAGTGAAAATAAATAACTTGCAATCCTGAGGTTCCTTTCCGGTGGCCCCACTGCCCCTTGCTGGGGTCCTTCTGGTCCGGTGAACCAGTCTCTGCCCCTCACAGCCCTGAGCTGTTTATGATTGGGCCAGACCTATGCTAGGCATATTGA